GTTTCCCTGTTCAAATTTGTGAAGAATGGTCTCGAAACACATGGGCCTCCACATAATGGAGCTTTTATTTTTAGTGCCCACCACTAATTGGCAGCGGAGAGAAAAAAACCACTGACTGTTTTTCAAGACTCTCTACTTTCCTTGTCTATAAGATAAGGCTTCCAACCTTGACAAACACCAGAGAGATGAAGGGCAATAGACCATCAGGTGCTCATGTGTTAGTGGGAATTGAAGTCCTGTCCCACAGGGAAGATGCGATGCACGCATGAGAGGGGACACTTCACTGTCAGACAAAATTCACTTGTTTTGTCTCGGGAGATAAGGGAGGTGGGAATAACTCACATGGCTTCTGTTTCCAATGGGGGAGAGATGAGGGATCACTGCTGCCAACCCTCTCAATCTGGTAAGATGAGAAAGATAAATTCGTGCTTTCTATAATGAAAATATAATTCAGAAAAGAACTGCATGTATACAGAAAGGGATGTTAAATTTATTTCACTACAAGGCTAACCTAGAAAGGCAGAAAGATGCTTGGTGGTTCAGAGTACCCCTTGTTGCTTTTGAAGAGGACCTCGGTAGGCTTTCAGCGTCAACATGGGGGCTCACAACTGTCTGCAACTCCAGATCCAGAGGCTCTGATGCCTCTTCTAACCTCTGCTGGCACCAGGCATACATGCACATGGTGCATATACAGACGTGCAAGAAAAACACACACCCACAGAATAAAATAAATATTAGGAAGATATTGAAAGGCTAATTCAGAGAGGCTTACCTGGCAGGGCCTGAACTCCTATAGCAACGGTACAGCCATGCTTGGAGAGGGTGGCCCAGCAGCACTAGAGCAGATACACCATGCAGAGGACTCCTCTCTCCTCTATTTCATGGTCAGGGGCAAGCTGTATTGTCATACATGTGTAGCTTGGGATCCCCTTTATCCAATGTTTCCATTATCACCTGCTTTTGTTATTACTAGATGTTCATTTTATGGTCCTACAACGACCTGAGCACGAGCCACTAACAGCACGAGAAACAATACATATCCCTTGTCGTGGTGTGGACGTGGATGAGTCACAGACAGGTCCCCTGGGTGTCTGGTAACACGCCGCACCTCTCCTAGAACAGAACTCAGTAGAAAGTCACTGGAGCATTTTCTTTGCTCCTGACAGTACCGTCTGCTCATTCATTTTCTATGAGTTCGTGGAGCATTTGAGAATTGTATTATTAGAGTCTGACATTAGTCTTTCAGGTTCCGGTTTCTGCTGAGGGAGAAGAACCAGATGACTGATTTGTTTTTGTTTGTCAGTTGGTCTTTAACTGGACACACCCAGTCCTTACTGGGATGGGATCCTGCTCCTGGATGGGCTGAAGCAAAAGTCCTTATCTTTCAGGCATTGCAGATGGCTTACAGAGAACTGAGTATTATTTTTTACGCACACACACAAGCACACACATACATACACATGTATGCACGTACATGCACACATCTCTGCGCTTGTACACACATGTGCACACACACAGACATGTATGCACACACATGCACACTCACACACACGCACACAGACATGCATACACACATGCACACTCAATACAACGCTCACCCATGCACATGCATGCGCACACACTCACACATGTGCCCATTCTCACACACACACAAAACACGTGTGCACACACATGAACACAGACGTGCATGCACACACAAGCTAATTAATATCTTCATGACTAACAACCCAAAGTTTAAACTAGGTAAAGAGGAAACTCTGTGTATGTGTCAGTGAGGGAGTGTGCAGATATAGCTTCTGATATTTTTAACATAAACATTATTTATTTTACATCCGTATATTAAACATAATAAAAATTATCCAAAAGAAGAAATCCTATTTGTTTTTTTTAATTTGGAGAACATTCTCTGTGCATTCTCATCCCAAACCTCTAAGTTTATTTTTATCTTGACTGATTTATTATCTGTTGAGCCAGATGAATTATCTTGCTATAGTTTTTCCCTGGCATAATTATACATGTAATGTATTAGTGAAAAACAAATTACGCTTTTATCTCTGTCTTTAGTAACTACTGCTTGGTGCGCACGAGGCATCTCAGTGAAACAGTTCTTTATTTAGCTTTTTCATACATTTGCTTATTTCTTAAAACTTGTTCTGTGGATGTTACTTATGAAATAAATACAGTGAGGATTTTTTAGATACAGTGTTACATGGTTGACTGTGAAAAAGAGGGCATAGTCAGTTATGTGTCCATATGCTTGTGACAAGTTCTCAGTGCTAATGGTCTTTATGAACTGTTTGTCGTTGCCTCTGTTTCTGTGAAATAAGATCTTGTACAGAGCCCCAGCTGACCTTGAATTGGATAGCTTCCTCTCTCTACTTCCCAACTGCTAGGATCACAGGGTCTGGCTCCATTTGTTGTTGTTGCTTTTGAAAGACTTTATTCTAGGACTTGGGGTTTCTCTGTAAACATGGCACCTGCTATCATAATGCCTTCTAAGAGCCCACTTTAGCTTTTTCTGCTGTAGTGACATACTCCACACAGCCTCAGATTTATCGCTGGTGGGCTGTAGTTTGCTCACAGAGCTGGGCAACTATCACCACAGCATGACTCGAGAACATTCAGCCCCACAGAAAAAAGATCCTATGCATGGCAGGCGTTCCTCACTCCTGTCTGTGCCCTCGGCTTCCCGGGAGCTTTCTGTCTCCATGAGTTGACTTGTTCTGGATATTTCATATGATAGAACCTGTGGTCTTTTGTGAATGTCTTCTTTTTTAAATAATTAGGATCCCGAGTTGAATCCAGGTTGTAATGTGGTGGGTGATTTAACACTTCATTTTATTAAGTTGCTGGTGAGGGCTTTAGTGTGTGCACACCACATTCCCTTCATCCACTCAGGCACTGATAAAACTTTATGTTCATCTCCTTTTTTTTTCTTCTGAATTATGCTGTTATGAGTACCTATGTACAACTGATGTGAGAATGTGTTTCTCTTTCTCTTTTTAATATAAACGCAGAGTTGGAACTGCAGGGTGCTATTGTCATTGTAACATCTTGAGGACCATCAATCTGCTTTCTACAATGGTAGCTCGCTTTTCATTTCTACTGGTGGTAAAGGAGAGCCTCCATCTCTCCTCATCCTTGACTACTCTTAATGACTGTCTGTCTTCTTTATATTAGCCATCCAGACAAGTATGGCCCAGCATCCCTTAGGCTTTGGGTTTTCATTTCCCTAGTGATTAACAACGAGAATTTCTTTTCTTGAGTTGATTGTCATAAGTTGACTTTTGGTGGTTGCACAATGTACAAGGTCAAAGGTCTATTTTCAGATATATTTTTACACAGTTTCCTCCCTTTTTTGATACCATTGGATTAGGAGACAAAGTAGTTGCTCTGGGTCAGGAGTGGTGGTGCACACCTTTAATCTCAGTACTCAGGAGGTAGAAATAATCGGATCTCTGTGAGTTCTGGGACAGTCTGGTTGACATTGACATCGACAGTTCCAGCTTGCTGAGGCTACACAGTGAGACATTGTCTCAAACAAAAGAAAAAATGCTGTTCTGGCTAACACTTTAAGCCAGTTGTTAGAAAGATTTTGTTTTGTATTGAGGCAAGTATTGAGGATAACTCATAATGACTGCCTGAGGTGAATGAGCAGAAACTCATGCTTAAGGATTTCTAGTCACAGAAGAGTAACTATGATGTGAGCAGAGTCCCTGGGTTCTGGTACTCCTCTGCTGTCCTATGTATCTGTCTCAGACCCCGTTTTGTTCAGTGCCCCTGTGTGATCATACTGTCCATACGGCTCTCTCTGAATTTTCTTTCTCAGCACAGGAGGGGAGACCTAAACACTGAAAGCTTCGTGAGGGAAAGAAAACTCATTGTGTTTATTTATCAAGATACTTTTCAGGAAAAAAAGGAACAAGGAATTGAAATGCTCTATGAGAAACAGAAGTCACACAGAGTCAATATTTCCTTCAGGGCTGCTGCTGTCATTTAAGGTCCCCATGGTTACCTCTGATTGAAAGTCATACCCACTGTAGCCTCACAAGGGGAATACACTGGCTCCTTAGGTCTAGAGGCTCCTAGACACTGGATCCATTCTGATTCTTGGGACGACTCCTGGAAACTTTTAGCTCATATATTTACTTTTTTATTTTTTAAGTAGAAAGCATCCCTGACACCCCAAACAAATGTTCCAGGACTGAGTTTTTGTGGTGTCCACTGGCCTACCTGGGCCATGTGTCTACCCCTTAGTGGTCTTCAGAGGCACATTGCTCTCTAGACTCTGGTGGGCTGAGGCCAGATAGATGTAGTTAAAGGGGGGAAGGTAATATAGTATGGGGTGGGGTGGGAAATGCTGTCTTCTACCACCAGTGAATAGGAAGACTTCTTCCTCAGAAAACACTGGGAGGCACCAGGAAATAGGTGTTCAGACTTTGTGGTAAACATTAGCTTGCAGGGCTTGCCTGTCAGATAACTAACTTGAAGTATTACAGGTTCAGAAATGGAAAAGGATTTTGAACCCAGATGAATTATCTTCTAGCCTAACTCCTAGCCTGATTTGGATGTGAGATGGATCTTGGAGTTGCTATTGAAATGATTTAAGATTTTAGGAGGTATTGAAATGAGAAGTGTGGGATTTGTGTGAGAGAAAAATGTAAATTTTAACGGGCTAGAAGTGGATTGAAATGTCTCCCACAAAATCTTGTAAAATTGAAGTACTATACTGTACTCTCAAAGTCTCCAAGCAATAGGTCAGTATGTGGCCTTACGAGGACACGTTAACAGTTATGCATTAAGAGGTGGTTCGTGGTTTCCTGAGTATCAAAATAGCGTTGTATGAGTGGCCCGACAACAGAGCATCACTGCTTTGCATGTCTGGAGACCGGCAGTCCGAGAGGAAGGTCTGAACAGGACTGCTTGAGGAACACATTGTCTGATGTCCGTCCATGCTTTGGTTTTAACTGGATTTGTGGACACTGTTCTTTTTTAAACAGAAGAAACAAAAGTATCCGAAGATGATGAGATGGAGAAACTCTATAAATCGTTGGAGCAAGCAAGCCTATCTCCTCTCGGGGACCGAAGGCCTTCAACCAAGAAGGAACTGAGAAAGTCTTTTGTCAAGCGGTGCAAAAACCCATCCGTAAATGAGAAACTCCACAAGATCAGAACCTTGAATAGCACATTAAAGGTAAGGCAGTCTCGAACTGTGAAGCCTGGGGGTGGGGGGCAGGAGGGAAGGCAGGCAGAGAATGGCTGGCTGCAGAGAGATTCATAGCCAGCTCAGAGTGCTTCTGTGGGAGGAGGAAAGAGCAGAGTGGGTAGCATCCTCATAGTGGGATGACTCTGGCCTTTGAGAAGCTCTGGGTCGCTCACACAGCAGCATCTGTACATAACAGGCTTCAATTTTACATACAGTCTGTTCAGAGTTTGGATTCCCAAATCACAGATGGCAAGGACTGTGCGTAATTTGGTTCTGTAATTTTGTGTCTAGCACAATACTTGGCTCTAAAAACTTTTTATTGTTTGAGAATTTCATACATGTATGTAATATATCTTGATCAATATCCACCCCATTTTCTCCCTTCTTCCTTTCTCACCACTGCTTCCCCCACTCAACTTTGTGTGCTCTTTCTATTTCTTGTTTTAAAACCCAGCAAGTGTACTTAGTGCTGCCGGTATGTGCATGGGGCAGGACCATCAACTGGAGCACAGGCCCATATCCCTGAAGTAAACTTACTCTCCCTCCCCCTTCAGCAATTGGTCTTTTCAGCTAGGGATGGAACGTATGAGCCCCCTTCTGGGTCCATAATGGGATCTGGGCTGAGCTTGATCTTGTTTGGGTCTTATGCATACAGTTCAGTCACTGTTAGCTTATGTGTTCATGTCCAGAAAGTACTATCTCTCTGCAGACATCCACCATCACTGGCTCTTATGATCTTTTGCTGTTTAGCAACATAGAACATCCTTTGGCAAAAATACACAGTAATAGAGATAAGGATTTCCCCTGACTCCATGTGTGCTACTTGATCTTCTCCTTCTCCTTTTCCTTCTCTCTCTCTTCTCTTCTCTTCTCTTCTCTTCTCTTCTCTTCTCTTCACTTTCTCTTTTGTGACAGGTTTTCTCTGTGTAGCCCTGGATATCCTGGAACTTATTCTATAAGACCAGACTGCCTTGAACTCAGAGATTTGCCTGCCTCTGCCACCCCCCACCCAGTTCTTAGATTAAAGGCATGAGCTACTGTTGCTTGGCCATGGGACTATTTACTAATTGCCAGCTGTAGACACCACAGCCAAGAAGCATGGTGAGAACCAGGCAGTGGAAGGCACACATTCTGTGGTACTAAACCAACAGATGTTGTCACATGGGAATAGGGGACAGGCTGCAGGACTGCACTGAAGCTATTTCCAGAGCTTCCCCTAACAAAGGCTTGCTCACAATAGGAGCATCTTACTTTTACATTTAGACTAAATACCGGCAGGCAGAGGGCAGGGCACTCTGTAGTCATCTTAAATTATCAGAAGATTCATAGGCTCTGAAAAGCCTCACTGGAGCCTGCGATTTAATTCTGAAGTGTGCATGTCTTTTCATGTTAAAAATTTTGAGTTCCCTTTCCAGGAATAAATGTCACCAATCACGAGTATAATATCGAGATAGCTGAATGGGTTATTAGTAGTAAGATGTTCCAGTTATTCAAGAGAAAAACCAAGCACCACAAAAGGCTGCAAAACATGATGTTGGAAAGGACAAGGAGAAGAATGTTTTAGTTCTACGAAGGGACACCTCGCCTCGTTCAGAGCAATTCTCTAATAGTTAATGATGAAAAGCCTTCACTAGCACTCATTTTATGGTGTGTGCAGAGCTGACGAATGTGTTGGGTTCTTCAGTGCAATCTGCGAGAGAAAGTTGGGATTTTACCATCTTGTAGGATGAATGACTTCGTTATTGGAGAGTAATATTTCCTGCATGTTACTGTGTACCAGATACTAGCCTAGGTCACTGTGGCCATGGAGTGGGATGCTCAGGACAATGGAGACAATGGCTAAAATGCAGCACAGTAAGTAGTGTCGTGGGTACAAGCTTTGAAAGCCTTAATGGCCCAGAGGACTGAACTGACTGAGCGTCTAGGCTCATTATGTTTAGCAGGCAGCTGGTCAATCAGTAAGAAGTTTAGAATATGGGTAAAATGAGGGAAAGACCTTCAGGGAGGTGACCATCTACTGAGGGATGATCTGTTTGGTTCAGGTTGGGACCAGCAGGAAGCAGAAGCCAGTGGGGATGTGGGTAGCTCAGGACATGATGGAAGAATACTGCAACTCCAGATTTCATAGAGCAACAGACTGAAGATTCTAGACTTTGACAACACATTCTGTGCTCTAAAAAAAGGATCAAAGGCATTTACCAACCTCTCTGGTTTCCTATGAATTCTTGTTCTTCATAGTTAGGCCATGTGATGGATGACCTCAGTGACTTCTTTTCTCCCAGTAGATTAGGTCTCATGGTTAACGAATGGCCCTGGAGCTTGAGAGCTTCAAGCAAAAAGCATTTATTCTACTAGAATTTCTGTGGATCTATGGTCTGGGCATGGCTTGGGTATGGGATTCTGTAGTAGGAGTGGCGGGCCGCTTCCCGCCGCCCTGCTCCCCGCATGGCTAGCTTTACCTGGAATAATTACACGGAAACTGTATTCTTTTAAACACTGCTTGGCCCATTAGCTCTAGCCTCTTACTGGCTAACTCTCACATCTTGATTAACCCATATCAAATAATCTGTGTAGCACCACGATACCGGTAAGATCTTAACCAGCATCCATCTTGGAGAGGAGAGCTATGGCGACTGTGCCTCACTTCCCTTCTTCCCAGCATTCTCTTCTGCCTACTCTGCCTACCTAATTTTCTGTCCTATCAAAGGCCAAGCAGTTTTCTTTATTAATTAACCAATGAAAGCAACAGATAGACCTCCATCAGGATTCTATCATTAACTCTTGTGAAAGTGTGTTATCAAGGCTGGTCATTTCTCCACTGGGGGATGTCTGCTTCTCCGTCCCCATGTCAGAATTGGCAGCTTCCAGTTTCTTATAGCCTATGGCTCTGAGCACGTCTGATGCTGTATTTCTGATGAGTGGAGGCTGACCTCAGGTTCTTGTTAAGTAGACTTTGTGGGGCGGCTCACAGTCAAGAAGCTGACCTATCCCAGCAAGTGAGACTGTGAAGGGATGGTCACTGGGGACATGGAAGAGAGTGGAACCTGAGCTAGATAGAGGTGGGGTCAGAGAGGACTTACAAAGTAGAAGAAATAACATGGTGCATGAGCATCAGCGAGGATGCCCCAGTGGAGATGGGAGATTGCTGAGTCATAGGAGAGTGTCCTGAGTATGAGAGCAGAAGTCCTGGTCCCCAAGGGGAAAGGGCAGCCTGTGCCCAGAGCACAGATCTTTCATCTGTGCAAGCAGGAAGGAAGGCAGTGTGTGTTCTTGCTGGTGTGGGCAGTGGGTACGAGAAGTTTGGAAATGCTTTTCTGGTTGCTTTCATTTCTTCCAAAAGTACAGAACAAAGTTATCAGCAATGAGTGATGAGGAGGAGGTTTGAAATACAATGAGAAGAGCTTTCTTCTTTTCTAATTGTTGTGTGTGAGAACATGTTCGTGTGTTTGAGTGTGGGAGTGTGTGTTCAACAATGTCTAGGTAGAGGCCAGAGAACCTGTTTGAGACAGGTCTCTGCTCATTTTTGTCTCTTCTGGCTAGCTGGCCTGCTGGCTTCCGGGGACTCACTGTCGGAATACCAGTGTTATGGTTACATGCTCCCATGTATGGCTCTATATGGGCCTCAGGGTCCAAACTCAGGTCTTTATGCTTTTGTGACTAGCATAGGTTTCCTTACATGCTGAGCCTTCTTCCAGCTCAAGGGAGTTTTAAATATTCCTATAGAAAGTTGGAAAGAGAAAGAAGGTTGAGTGTGATTCCTGGTTGACTCTTGGTGACTGTCCTTTCAATCCTCTCTCCTTGGAGAATAGCAGTAGAGGCATGGAGGACCGCTTTATGATTATTAACACATATTAATTAACACCTCATGATTCTGTACTATGTTATATTCTTCACATCTACACACTATGCATTCACCATGGACGTCACCTTTCTGCTCTTGTTTCCTGATGGCCCTTCTGTTCCCAGTCCTTAGCAATTGCTCGTTTACTTTCATGTTGGTTTCTTAAAGGTTTTTCCATCTGAGGGAGATCATGGGATGGCTGTGTTTATTTGGTTTGTTTTCATTTAACCCAATGCCTTCTAGTCCCAGGCCTCAAATGATACTATCCCATTCTTCATTATGGCTGGACATAGTCAGGCATTCAATAAGTATTAGGAGAGTGTGTACTGTACGTCAGTCATTCTTTCATGCATGGGAGGTCAGTGGTCCTGTCAGACAAACATGCTGGTCCTCACGGGGCTTTCAGTTCAGAAGAGGAAGACAGAAGTGTGACCTCACTGACATTTTAGGATGAAAATGATGATTGGTGGTCTTGAACTTGAGATGAGAGCAGTGAGCATGACCGTGAGTGACATTTGAGCTGTGCATGTGCTTCCATGGGCGTGGGCAGAGATGGGTCCAATGGTGGAATGGAACTTACTGTCAACATGCCACTTGGCATTGTGTTATGAGCCAAGACTATAAGAAGGGAGGAAATGTATTTTTGGCCATCTTATTTAGGCTTCATTAGTGAATTAACCAATTGTGTGTGTGCATGGTTCATGTGGAGGCCAGAGGAAGAGGTGAGATGTTCCAACTTTTTGAGTCGAGGCCATTCGTTGAATCAGAAGGGACCTTTCTGTGAGACTGATTGTTCCAGGAGCCCTCTGGATCCTCCTGTCTCTGCCCCCACTGAAGTTCTGAAATTACAGGCACACGCAACTATCCTGGCCTTTTATGTGGGTGTAAGTGGTTCAAACTCTGAGTGTTCTAGTTAAGGCTACTATTGCTGTGATGAAACACTATGATATCAATTGGGGCTCCCTCCTTTTCTGATAACTCTACTTTGCACCAAATTGTCATAAAACTAGCTAATGCACAAACACTCAAGATTGCACAGCAAGGTGCCATTACCGATAGCGCCATCTCTCCAGTCTCTTTTAGGCTTTGGGGGCAGATGTCTAGGGGACAGTGAATGCTGAGCTCTGCATTGGATGGCAGGAGAGTATGAACATAAGACTGTGTGGTTCAAGCTGGGGGCTCCCAGTTTTCCACTGATCACGCTAGCTGGCACTAAGTCTAAGCTAAGGAATGTAGTAATAAGGGCGGCAGGGCTGCGTCCCCAGCACCCCGGCTGCCTGGCTAGCTTATGCCCGAAATAACAACACACAAACTGTATTCATTTAAACACTGCTTGGCTCTTTAGCCCTAGCCCTTACTGGCTAATTCTGATATCCCGATCAACCCATCTCTAATAATCTGTGAGTACTGGTCTTAGTGAGCACCGGTTTTACCGGGAAGATTCTAGCCTAAGTCCATCCTGAGTCGGAGCTTCATCACGTGCATCTTCCCTGGAGCGGGGAGCATGGCGTCTCTCTGAGGCGTCTGCTCCCGAGAGGAGAGCTGTGGAGTCTGAGCTCACTTCCTCTTCCTCCCAGCGTTCTGTTCTGTTTACTCCTCCCACCTCTCTTCTAACCAATGAGGGCCAAGCAGTTTCTTTTTATTTAATCAATGACCTTCCTCCATCAAAGGAAGGTGCTCCGGAGAGCTGAGCCTTCAGGAGGTATGAACCAGCATTGTGAGGGTGAGCAAATTCGGGGCAGGCACTGGGCCTGTGTGACTTATTGGACTGCACATGCCCAGTTAGCACCATGGTTGCAGAGATGGAAAAAAAAAAGCCATTTGGGATCAAATTATTCTAAGAATGCAGTGTTAGGCCCAATCCTCTGCTCAGGCTTCCTCTTGCAGATACCAACAGACACTCTACCCAGACATACCAACAGACACTCTACCCAGACATTGTAAGGCCCTGGCTAACAGACAGGATATCTTACCTGAGAAATGAATTAACATCGAAGCGGGCATTAACAATATTGGTATTGGTGCTATACACATGCTCTTTGTCACCCCCTCCCTGCCTTCTGTCTGGGATTTAGACCTGCAGCCTCCTGCTGAGAACTCCCCTGTCCTCCGGGAGCTATAAAAAGAGAATTACACTTCTCCCACATAGGCTCTGGTTCCTTTCAGTGAACCCTCCAAACTGTCTCTCTGATGGTGCCAGAATCCCTACCATGCAGTTGCTCCGTCTATCTGTCTGTCCATGGTATTGTAAATCTCCTAATAAACTCTGTAGTCCCTTGTAACCTGTCCCAGTGTCATCCCGAAACACCCAGACCCCGAGCAAACCTAACAATTGCCAGGGCTGAGTGATCCACCTCTTTATTGATCCTGATCATAATTTTACTCTGTTCTCTTACTTAAAATGTGAATGACTGATTGCCAGTGAAATGAGGACACAGCACTGATCTTTTATCTTGGCACACATACTGTTTTGGTGGAAGTTAGGCGTCTCATCTTTGAATAAAAAAGGAAACCATATTTTCATATATAAATAAGCATGTTAATAGAATATAACTTACTAAAATAATTTTAAAAATCTACAAAATTTAAAAACATATATTTTGTGACCTTATGCCTCAGGTCAACGGCTATGTTCCAGTTTTACTTAGTGAAATCAGGATGATCAGTGAAGAACCCGTGTGTACAACTAACTAAACTTCAGGGTATGCCAGCACCCGGTGACACACGCAGATAGAGTCACCTTAAGTGTGGAGTAATAGATGGGTCAGGGCGGACCAGCCTAGAAGACAGACTGTCTGGCTCTTTCACTAACTTGGGGGTGAATATATACAGCTTCTAGGTGGCTCCCATGTGCGAAGAGATATTGTGTCAGACCTCAGTCATGTTGCGAGATTAAGAATATTAATGGGCAAAACCACTCCAGTTGTGCTGCATCAGATAGGGCCATGTCTCTGGGAAAGGGCTGAGGAAGTTGACTCACCGAAGTTCAGATACACATGTCCTCATTGATGCCCCTTTCCTTCCTGTTTTCTTCTTGGCCAGTGCAAAGAACATGATCTGGCCATGATTAACCAACTGCTGGATGATCCGAAGCTGACAGCCAGGAAGTACAGGGAGTGGAAGGTCATGAACACACTGCTGATCCAGGACATCTATCAGCAGCAGCAGGTACCTCAGGACCCTGAAGACACCTCCCAGGAACTCAAGAACCCCAGCTCTTCTGACTGTGTTGAAAAGTCTCTTTGAGCAGAAGCCAGGACTGCTTCCTTTCTTGTTCCTGTGCTATTCTCCAAGACGCTGCCAGGGCAGACATTTTGCTTACAAGGAAACCCCAAACCCAGCTCCTGAGGCATCCTCCCTTTCTTCGGAGGATGCGACCAGGGTGAAGCCAGTTCTGATGCAGTGGGAGACCTGGCTTCCGTGTGTTGCATCCATCGATACTGGAGTTATGGAGTTCATCTGAGCAGGCGTATCTTCTGTGCTCCTTCTGGGAGCTGCTAGGAATGCTAGGCTCTAGGGGAGATGTGGAAGGGGTAACCCCTCTTTTGCTTTCAAGAGAATTGCAACCTAACATAGATAAGAGGCCCAATTTTACTATGGATAATAACTCATTGGGACATTCTGTTTACAAAGAAGCTTGGAGGACTGCCTTTGGTGGGCAGCAGAGTTTGAGTAGAGGGGTCTCTTCCACAGTAGCTGCTGGAACTGGACATGTGTTGGCATTTGTGGAACACAAGACTCTTCTTACCTTTGGTACAGAGAGCAGTGCCTTTTGGATTTGTTGAGTGCTTATTTGAAGAGTATGGCCTGGTGGGGTGGAGAGTGGGGAGCCCACGGAGGAGGCAAGCTTTCTGTTCCACTCAGAGGACAATTTCAAATGTTCATATGCTTTGCCTAGGGTGTGTGTGGGGGATCTGATTAAAGTGTCCCTTCCTTCCAAAGTCTAGGAGACAGACCATCACAAGACAGTTGGAGACCTTTGTCCTCCACCCCCAGATTCTCAGAACAGTGGTAGGAGATTGTAATACCCACTGCCAGGAATGTTATACTGTGTTCATACCAGGCTGTGGTATGAATTTCTATCCAGCTTTCCTGGGATCCAAATTCACAAGGTTATTTCTGAATTGTCCTGAACTTGGAAAAAAACCTAGACCCACAAAACAACAAGAAGACAGTTAAGCAGGATTGCTTTATTTTTGTAAGTTTGTGTGTCATATAGTGTGAGATGTGAATAGCTATCTATGTTTCTTATTTAAATATATTTATAGAAGTGCAAGTCATAGTGTTTTAAAAGACTACTATTATGTGTTGTTCAATATATATATATATATATATATTCTAGAAGCATATCATTTTTGCTTGAGAAAAATAGGCATACTAGTGACTTACTGAAGTTGTGTTGCACTATGATTCGTGAGGAATGCTCAGGAAATCTCATGAGAAAACTATGGGAGCATGTATTGATATTCATTTCTGAATAATGAATATCATTTTTCTGAATGCTTTCTTTCTATTATTGTCCCCCAGCCAGCTCCAGAGCTCTTAAATTTCAATGTTTCTTGCACATCATTTTCTTAACTTGCACCTTAGACTAGCTTGTCTCCTCATAAAGTTCAGGGTTTATGACATTTATGCCGTACATTGTAGACCCAAAGGAACATATCTCATGAAATCTTGACCCAAATGAAATATAAGCAATACAATTCCCAACTAAATATTAATCAAAATTAAGGTTTGTTGTTAAAGAAATCCCATGGAGAAACAATATATTAGTCACAATGACATCTTCTCTTCATAAAAATAACCATTATTTGAGTCCAGATATAAAATAAATAAATAAATTACATAACATAACCACAGTTCACTAAGAACCCTTCCTAGTCTCACCTGCCCTTTGCAAATTGTTGACTAACATATTCCTATCATAGCATCAAATATGGCTTGACAGATTCAAGTAGAAGTAGTCACCCAATCTATATCTACAAATTAAATGTAGAGAATCATTTCATATTTCCCTGTATATTATCAAGACTTTTTGTACACCAGAATGAAAAAATAATCCTTGCCTCAAGGAAGGAAAAGTTAATCAAGAAGCAAAGAAGAACTAGAAGATTCACTAAGTTGTGAGATAAAGTCTCAGGATGAGATGGAAAAGGACACCCTGGGTCTTCCACACGGATAATATACCGAGAGGCTAATGCCTCAACCTCAGGACATCACTGTTGATTCTTCCTGTGGCTAGCAGCTGTTAGGAGGGCAGTACTTTGGGACTCACAGTGTAAGGAATTATCGAAGAAAAGCGAATTAACAATGGAGCAAATGTTAACCTGGGAAAAGTATTCATCCACGTCTTCTATTCACAATATGAATCTACACACTTCCATCCACCCCTGACCCTCCCCTCAAGTTGAAGCTCCAAACACTTTTTATCAGGACTGATTGCTATTTTAAATGCTTTACTTTGGCTTCTCATTTAACTGACCTTTGCATGCAAATTCCTTTAATAACACTTAGATCTAAAGGCAAAATTAGTCCATGAAATCCCTTGACCAATCTGTAGGGTTATTTTTCAAAGTAACTTCAAAAAGGCCAAAGGAGAAATTTCTGCTTTGATAGTTGACCCTGACCTGTAGATTGTTCCCCAGTCACTCTCCCTTGTGCCCTGGGCTCCCAGACATGAATCAACCACTCTCTGTTTCTAATTTTGTAAATAAATACCTTTTCACTTTGTGCTGGGTTCAGTTAGGAAGTAGGGATATGTGCTCCTGTGGGTATGCAGTCTCAGCTGTGATCACTAGAGGAGGGTGAGGACGGGGGGGGGGGGGGAGTAGAAGAGCCATGAATGACGCTTCTAGAGCCCCCCAGTGCAGAAGAAACCATGATGAGCTCTCCCTTGGTCTCAAATCTCTTCTCTGGTTCAAGAGATTTGGGAAAAGCAGATCTCCTTTAGTTCATTGATGGGAAATGGATTATAGATAGTTAATGGGGCCCCAGAGGAGGCTGTTGGCCTGTGTCCGTGGAAGGTACCAGAACCACGGCTGCTCAGGACCCCAGTGATGGATCTTCGAGCACAAGTCTTTCCAAACCTGTGGCACTAGTTAGGGGTTAAGTTTCTCCAGAGGAGGAGGATTTTTCTCAGTCCTTTTCTGAAGATCCAGGCAAGAGGTTGTTAACATACATGGATCCCATATTTTTCCAGCGTTTGGAGGATGCCCGTAGTTCTTAGTTTGGCCAGTAGCTTTAATCTGAAACTGGAATCAGAGTCCCAGAAAGATTCCAGAGCAAACAATTGCTAGGATTCCGACGAGCTGGTTGAGAGAGAGGTCAGGTTCAGAGTCAGATTCAGTTTGAATTCAAGCCTTAAGTTTACATAGCATTTTGTGGTTTGTAAATTGTGTGATCCAGACCCCCTTCCCTGCATCCTACCAACCCATAGGCTCATCAGGATGACTGTGAACTGTGGGTAGAGTGAAATGCCTGGCTCAAAGCCTCAAGTGGTACAGCCAGACTCTGAGTTTGACTTCTGGCTCTGTCAGCCTTCACTGTTGAGGAAATCATTGTCAGAGCACAGCCTGCTGGGGAACAAGAGGTCTGATGAGGCTCCTGTGTCCTTCACAACAGGCTTGGCATACCTGGCTGTGATGGCAATGGCTTTTGCTGAATCCCTAGGGACTCTGCTGTGAGCACTCCCTCTCAAAAGGTCCTGTTGCCTTGCCTCTGTGTTCTCCAAGGATTGGGAGTGACCTGACGGTTGTGTTTCTTTTCTTCCCATCAACACTAGGTTACTACTGTGAGAACTTTAGAGCCGGAGGGAAGAGGAATCTTTAAAGAGATAAAAAGGGCTTGTTTTTAAAAATTTTTTATTTACCTTTTCCTTTTGAGCCCAATTGTGTCAGCTATCAAAGAGTTAGTGTTTAGGAGTGTGTCCCCTGTTTTCAGTTCTCACTTTCTCCTCAGCTCTTGTATTATAGGGAAGCTTGTTTCCTCAGGGAGTCTTCAGGTCATATTGTCACAGAGATGAAACAAATTAAAGGAAAAATATTTTTTAAGTCTTTTGAGGAGAGGCACTCTACCAGTGAAAGCCATAGTTAATTTTATGGACACAGACTTCTTTGTAAAAAAATAAAGAAAATATTTTGATATAGCAATACAAAAAATTTAGGCACAGAGGGTGGCTGTCCAAATGTCACATTATATTGAAGAGCTGCTGTGTCCAAATGCAGTTTTAGAATGTATTTTTATTTCCGGCTAACAGAATGGAATATATGAAGGAAATTTCCAATTTATTTCCCCTCAAACACTTCTGTATATTCACCCCCAAGAGAAATTCAGTCCTAGATATATGGACTGGCTACCTGCCTAAGGGTTTGTGACACATAACAGTAAAAGCCCCTTATACTAGATTTTTTTTTTTTTTAGTCTCTGTGAAATGGGTGGGGGAGGGAATTCACAGAAAGCCAGGCCACACAAGGTCATGTGGTAGAGCACATTAAAATGGATTTTGCATTTAAAAAAGATTTCCATATCTCTCATTGTGAAGATACATAATTGCTCTGTGCTGTTGTCTCTTTAGCTTTAGTCCAAAGGGAAGCATGCCCCGTGGAGACATTTAACATCCTCTAATAAAAACCATGGTTGAGGTTTCCACATATGTTCTGATGTTTGCATGGTGGGGATGGGGTTCAACAGTGCATGGTTCTGGGGCCAGATGTTGATGTGGGATTGCTATCTTAACTGTTATTGTGCTTTTGGTCCTTGTCGTCAATCTGTTTCGACTAAACTAAAAACACAGGCATGCCTCATTTCTCCTGTCCCCGGCTCCCGGGATAACTTGTAAGATAACGATAAAAGCAAACCGTCTAGTAAAATGGTATGGATCAAGACAAGCTGCACGACTGTTGTTGATTTTCTGCCGTGCATTATCGCCTCCTCTTTGAAAACTAAAAGAAAGTAAACAATCCCAAACCCAGCAGACACACTAACAGCAACCCAGAATGCTACCCTGAAGATGGGTTTTGCTCTTCAACAAAGGTAATTGCGCCCTCTGGTGACCATGATAAAGATAACAGATTCCGGAGTTGATGGGATTTTAAAATGAAAAGATAATTTTATGTTGGGGACTTATTTCTACATGAACTTTTGTGGTCTTTGTCAATGCCTTTCATTTTACAGGCCTATCAGTATAAATATTTAAAAAGGTGTCACTGCCCATGAAATTTGGCTTGTCTATTCGATAACATTATTGACCATCCACATTATTTAGAGAATTTTTAAAAACAGATTTACAAGACATACAAGCTTATTAAAATACGAACTAAGAACATATTAAAAATAGGACAGACTGAGTTCCACTTTTCCCCATCGACCCCAGGAAGCTGGCCTGCATTTCCACCTGTTTCACACATCTGGGGTTGCAGTGTCCACAGATGGTGCCGTTTCCCGTTTCTCTTCCCCTCCTGCAGCTCTTTCCTTTTCCAATTGAGTTCCATTCTTACTCAGCTTCATCCTAAGTATTTCTAAGCATTCTTCCCCCAGCCCCACACAACCAGAAACAGTAAAGTTATTTTAGCTCAGAAGGATCTCGACTGGGGATGTAGCTCACAAGTAGAGTGCTTGCCCGGCGAGTGTGAGGGCCTGGGTCTAATTCCCCTGCATAAAGTGGGCATGAGCGGGGACAACATGATGATGGGAGGCTCAGGAGTTCATTTGTTATCCTCTGCGTTGGAATAGAACCTGGATCACACGATACCCCGGCTCCACGAAAAGAAAAAAAAAGGTATTAACAAAAGGCATAGGAAAAAGATTAGCCAATGGCGTAGTTACACGGATGTTTCTAGAACAACCTCTGGGTTTCCGAGTGCTGCTGTAGCAGAGCATCAGCATTAACGGCTCACACATGCTCGTTCCCTTACAGTTCTGAGTTTGGGAAGCTACCACGGGGATTCCTGGCTAAAGTCAGGCTCTGGAAGGGTGACATGTTTTATGGAGGCTGGCAGATGTTATTCCCTACAGCTTTCAGAACAAACCCATGTCTGTTGCTTCTCTGTGTGCTTCTCCTGTCTTTAAAGTCAGCACTGTCCTATTTCTTTGTGTCTTTAAACCACATCTGCCTCAGCCTGACATTTCTCAGTTGCCTTGTGGTCCCAGTGGATCTTTTGGAATAACCCAGGACAGCCTGTCTACATTTTTAATCCTCATTTGTCTTCAGTTCCCCTGTATAGCTTGCTCACAGGTTCCAGATCATCACGCTTACCACAAATGTTCATTTCAAATATTCTGTGGAGTACCCGTACGTCATCAACATCTGCCAGAAAGTCTGGGGTTTCAAAGCTGTTAACAAGCTTGAAAGTCCTATGCTAGGACCTGAATTTGATTCCATCAGAATGTGTTCCTGGATGGGAATACCCATGGCTTTTACCATCACAGGTATACAGTACAAAGGCAAAACCCTGTTCAATAACCATATCAGGTGTTCACAGTGTCTGCCTGCAAGGACAGGAAGGTCAGCATGGCTGGCGTTTGACAGGTGTGAATGAGGAGTAGTGGCTGAGTGCCCCTGGGTACCACTGATGCACTGCAGAGAAAAACAGGCCTGAGTTTATTCACAGTTTACTGTGAAGCCTGAGAGTGAGGTTGTTTGGCAGTCTTCAAGGAAACAGAGGGCAGGAGGAGTTGAAAGCCAGGCTCAGGACTATTGGAAGCATGACAGAACGTCAAAAGAGACAAAAATCTTCCCAGAGAAAGAACAAGATCGCACAACTTGAGGTAAGGATGCCCAAGGTTTTCAAAAGCATAGGGCTCTGCAGGAAGTGCCTGCCCCCTTGGTGGTTGGTAGAAAGCCCCAGCCCTTTATAGCAAAGACTTTTCAGATTATTTTTTCACATGAGGCAGGTGCCACATAGGGCAATGTTTGTCCTTTCCAGGAAGGAGGTGGCAAGGGAATTGCTAGGCCCTTTGAAAAGCTGCTGGAGGTCAGAACTGTCCCCAGAGGTTGCCACAAAGCAAATGCACTGTTGAGTAGCAATGTCGATGATAGACCTCCAGAATAGTAGGGGAGGTCAGACGGCCATATTTAACAGTGTAAGCAATAAGTCAGAATTGCCGTAATGACAACCAGGTTGGAAATGGTGGCCAGGGTCAAGGTTGTCATCAATTGTGGTCTTGCGAAATTGCCAGTACAATAGAGGATTGTGGGACACAAGGGGCTCTAGCCATTAGGTTCAGAATTAGAGACTAAGATTAGGTACCTCACTTTAGAGAATGAGAATTAAGTGCTGTGAAAATTCAGGAGTCCATTAATTATGTGAGACATTTGAGTCCAGTGGGATGGGGCAAGTCAGGATCTATCACTCCAAGTAAGGGGCAAATTTTACTGCACCTTGCATTTCTGCTAGGAAGAATGAAGCATGATGCTTGGTGAAACCTGTCAAAGCTTTCACGGAAGCATTTTCCATGTTGGAGAGCTTTCTGACTTTGTTAGACAGTATGAAAAGATTCTACTTATGAACAGGAATGAGCTGTGTGGCAGGAGCAAGCCATGGATGTCTCAGATCATCTAGTAGGGTGGTGTGGGACAATTCTATATTCTGTCAATTATATTTTAAATAAATGCTGATTGGCTGATAGCCAGGTAAGAAGTATAGGTGGGAAAACCAGACAGGAAGTAGAGGTGGGACAATGAGAACAGGAGTATTCTGGGAAGAAGGCAGCTCTTTCCCCAGTCCTGCCCAGATCATGGAAGAAGCAAGATGTGACCTACCCTGCTGAAAAAGGTACTGAGTCATGTGGCTAACATAGATAAGAATAATGGGCTAATATACGTTATAAGAGTAAATAAGAAGCCTGAGCTAATGGGCCAATCAGTTTGTAACTTATGGAGACCTCTGTGTGATTTTCTTTGGGGCTAAACGGCTGCAGGAACTGGGCAGGACAGAAACCCCGACAAGCAGGCCCTCATGTTACAGTAGGGAGATGTACACAGCATAGGAGCCACAACACACATAGCAAAGGTTCTTGAGTGAGACATCATCCAGAAAGAAAGGGCAACTGCTAAAAAATATTTCTGACCTGTTACTTAGTCCTGGTACAGTGTCCAATCATGGGTGCCGGTTACGTTGCAGCCAGAAATCTCAAGCTCTAGGCGCTATTCAACAGCAATTTGAGGTAGCCCAGAAGCAATTCATTGCGAAGTGAAAATGGTCCATTCAGTATTGGGTTAGGTATCTAAGAGGGCACAAGGAAATTGAGTGAACATGTGGCCCAGGCATCTCTGTGACTCACGACTCCTGCACACTCACCTCTAACTCAGTTTATGTGTATGACCTCATAGGGCACTTCTCGGGAGTACTTTCTTGTCAGGACCGCCAGCATACAAATAATGACATGGAGTCTTTTTTATTAGTTTTGAAAACCTGGCATTTAACTTAGCCTTATTGCCAACTAGCTCTTATAACTTAATCAACCCTTGTTTATAAGTCTACATTCTGCCACGTGGCTTGGCTACCTCTCCTCATTATGGAACATCTGACTTGCTCTGTGTCTGCTGGCAAACAATCCCCACCCCATTCTGATGGAGGTGGGTCTTGTATCTTATCTGTTGCTTTCATTGGTTAACTAATAAAGAAAACTGCTTGGCGTGATAGGACAGAAAATTAGGTAGGCGGAGTAGACAGAACAGAATGCTGGGAAAAAGAAGCTGAGTCAGGCAGTCGCCATGATTCTCCCACCCAACACAGATGCAGGTTAAGATCTTCCCTGGTAAGCCACCTCGTGGACTACACAGATTATTAGAAATGGGTTAGATCAATATGTAAGGGCTAGCCAATAAGAGGCTGGAACTAATGAACCAGGCAGTGTTTAAAAGAATACAGTTTCCGTGTAGTTATTTCGGGTAAAGCTAGCCAGGTGGCGGGAAGCAGCCCACCACTCCTATTACTACACCATTCTTTCCCAGGGCTCTCTACCTCTCTCTCTCTGGAAATCCTCCCTATTCTCTCTGTCTAGCTATTGGCCATTCAGCTCTTTCTTAAACCAATCACAGCGACACATCTTCACACAGAGTAAACAAATATTCTGCGACATTTCTCAGTGTTTGGCAGATGAAGAAAATGCTAAAGCTTGATTCTCTAATGGCTGGCTTGCAGTATGATGGGTGAGTATTACCTTACAGACTTCTCTAGTGACTTGAAAGTCAGTGGTAGAAGAAAACCTTTCAGGGGGAATAGAGCCTTGAGTACCACATCTGACCATCCTTTCTGTGTGAAGAAAGAAGTGGGCCAAGGGACATTGGCATTCTAAGGGGAGAGACTTAAGCATGAACTGTGGCCATGGTACCATGTGTAAGGAACCGATCCATGTGCTTTGATTTTAATAAACAGCAGACAGTGTGCATTCCAGAAGTGCTCAGTAGTCAAGTGCTCAGAAGGAGTCAGCCTAGGAAGGTCTCTTAGCTTGAGTAAATGACCACCTCATGCCTGTGCATCATGCTCATGAACAGAGGGTCCTCAGCAGTAGAGATAGAGGCTCCCATGCATGCCCCAAGCATGCACATGCCAGCGGGGGCTGAAAAGTCCTGTAACTGCTGCAGCTCGTCTGCATGTAACAATTACAAAATGTCTGAGTTCCAGTAGTGTATTTTATTTGAGGGAAAAAAAATCTGCCATTTGCCCCAAGTTGATTAGAAAGGCACCTCTTATCAAAAAAAAAACCAAAAAACAAAAAACAAAAAAACAAAAAAGATGGGATTTTACTTGACAAGCAGAATCCCAACTTTGTGTACGTCCTTCCTTTGAGTAGTGTCTCGGTCAATACCACTGTTCAAAGGCTGACAGGACTTCTGGTTCACAAATGGAATTTCATGCAATGTCAGTTTAGACCAGCA